TTTAAAAAGGAGTAAATAACTAAAGAAAGGTTTACCCTCTCGCCCCGCAGTCTGCGCAGGTAGCTAAATCAGTCCTCCGATACATGGAGGCGCGTACCTCCTGTACCACTCCGCGTCCCCCTCCAGCAGTGCTAAAGCAGAACCCGAGCGCCGCTAAAGCAGCGAGGGGCTGCGCACCTTGCGCGTAGGTCACATGCACCCTGCGGATCTTGTGTAGCATGAGCTAAAGCAGCAAGCCATGCATGCGAAAGAGACCCTTCAAGGAGGGTTTGCAAGCGAGGCTGTCCATAGGTGACACGCGCAGCGCCTTCTCCCTGCTTTAGCAGGGCGGAGAAGCAGAGCAGCGACTGCTTTAGCACTGCTAGATCACCTTCTCGTCCCTGCTTTAGCTGGAGCAGCTGAATATTAGAATTTTCTAAATATAATTTCTGTATAACATTAAATTATATTTAAAGGGGTAAAAAAATTAAATTTTTGTTTCTTAAAGGGGAGGAAGCCCCGCAGCGCTGTCACAGTTACGAGGATGCTAAAGCAGAGGGTGGAACTGGAACTAACGGGTAAACCAGCTCGCTGGTTTGCTGATTACGACAGGGCGCAGTGCTGCGGGCCGCAGTGCTGCGCCGCGAAGCGCGAATGTTGGAGGGGCAAGCTGCTGCTTACAAGGCTAGGTGCTGCGAAGCAGAAAGAGCCTTGCTGTGCAGCGGCTTCAAAACGTCCTACTCCCTACGGCGCAAGCGCTCCTCGATCGCCTGTTGGCGAAGTACGCGGAGCGCGGATACGGTACGCAGTAGAGTAGCAGCTAAAGCTGCGGGGAAGTGCAGCTAGCCCCCTGTTAAACCTGCAGTGGCGAAGGCCAAATATTATTTAGAGTTTTTAATTAATTTAGTAATGTATAGTCTAATCATTTGAGTATATGTGAAAGAAGGTAAAATATATTTAGCAAAAATATATACTAAAATAGCTAATACTAGAAATGAAGATAATAACTGATTGAAGAAAAAAAACGGAACTAGTTGAGGCATTTTATTTTTATTTTTAATTTATAGTTCTATTATTTTTTTAAGAACCTACCTCTACGCACTGCTTCGCGCGCACGCCTGCGGAGGAGGGTGCTAAAGCAATCCTTCGGTGGTTGCGCAAGAGGCAACCCTGCGCTACGCACTAAAAAGCTAAAGTAACCTTTTAGCTCTGACGTGGATACGCTGTCTGGCTTTCCGTCTCCTCGCCCCTAAACGAGGGTTGGCCTGACCTTCCCCTTAGCGACCCTCCTGCAGCGCCCTCCGGACCAAACCCTGCGGCCGCAGGAGCGAAGCGCGCGCGCGGAGTGGGGGAGAGCACTGCTACCTCCCCTCAAGGAACGCTCTTGGGTGGGGAAGCAAGGGTTCGCGGTTGCTGCTGTGGTTTAGTCACCTCCCTGAAGGACTGTTTAGCAGGACTGTACGGCTGTCAACCTTCGCTTGGTTCAGACCAGGGGTGGTTATCCGCAGTATGCTAATGCAGTTGCCACCTCTGCGCGCTGCAGGGCGGATGCAAGAAATAGGCGGGGGAGCAAGCAGGTCGAGGGGCAGGCAGTGAGGACTGATGGACCGCTGTCTGGGTTATCGATAACCATTTACCCGCGGAGCACTAAAGGAGTCCGCAAGGGAGCAGGGCTGCTTCGTGTCGGAGAGGTGTGCTGGATTGCGATGCCGACTGCGGAGCGCATTTTTTTTGATAGTAGTTATTCGGGACTACTACTAAGGATTAGGAGTCATGCTTGAGGTAATAAGGGTTTCTAATGAATTTATTAGATATAATGATTATGAAACCTGCGAGCAACCGTATTACTGCTTTTGGGGTTTCGCTCGGTACGCAGGGCGCATCATCCGAGAGCCCTGCATCACGAAGCGGTGCTAAAGCAAAAACGCGAGGAGGGAGAGGGCGTCGCAGTCCCGGCTCCGTACTCGCAAAGAGCACCCCTTGCTAAATCAGAGTATGTACGCAGTGGAAAAGCAGGAGTGCAACGCTCCCACTGCTAAAGCAAGGCGCTAAAGCAGCACTCCCTGTCTACGAAGGCACGACGGGTACTGTAGTTTTATCAGCGTCCTCCTACATTCGCTTAGCTTCCGGATCCTTCTTGATCTCGTACGTAGAGTTTCACTTGCAGTACGAAGCAGACAGCTCTCGCGCTTCGCGACCGAAGGAGGCGCCGTTTAACTTGAGTTATTCCCCACCCCTAAACCGCTCGCGCTTTGCTCGCTACGCACGCTACGCAGGGCGCATGCTTTAGCACGCGCTCCTTACGCTCCGCAGGACGCTTGCGGAGAGGAGCCGGCCAAGCATCTAGCAGCAGGGCACTGACTACTACGTTAATAATTGTTAGTTTAAGAATTTTAAATCTTCCTTTTAAATTTATTTAAGAATTTATACTTTTTTTCCCAGTTAAAATTTTACATTACATAAATATTGACCACCTCTCCATCGCCACACTTCGCAGCGGACTGGTTCGCAGAGGGAGCTTCGAGTCCTTCGGATAACCAGGTAAGGAATACAGGCTCCCTCTCTGCTTTAGCCCTTCGGTTGCGCTGCAGTCCGCAGGGGAGGGGGGGGGGGGGGGCTCCTCTAGCTAAAGCGAAATTTGTGAAGCAGGAGGAACGCTCTGGCATCCTTACGTTCTGCAGCCTAGCTTGGACTAGTTTACTTCCTTACGTAGATCCTCAAGAGCTGTACGGAAACATGGTAGATCTCCGATGAGTCTAAAGTTGCTGCTCTCAGCAGGGCGAGTGGAGCGTAGCGAGCGTAAGACAAGGAGCTAGGGGTACGCTAGCTAATCAACAGGACCGCACACCGTGCTTGATATGTGACAGCTCACCTAGCGCAAGCCTACGTTTGCCGACGGTAGCTTCTTACCCTCCCCCTCTCGGGGTGGAAACGGAACAAGCGGAGGACCCGAAGCTGCTGAGTGTAGTATAGAAGTGAAATACTTCATGTACAGAGAGAAGCCACCCTCCTAATACATAAATTAAATCGTATTTAAGGTTAACCTTACTAAGCTGACCTGGTTTAAAGGAGGTATTTTTCTCCGCAGGGCGCAGGAGCGAAGCGCGAGAGCACCAGCCTTCTCTGCAGGACTGCTCTCCACCTTTAGCCCCGCTGCTTCTCGTAAGTTTTACCTCGGCGTACTGATGTAGGACAGTTAGGCCCAATTTACTGGTAGCTAAAATATGTATGAAGGTAAACCGACCGTTGCATCCGCGCAACCACGCAGGCGCGCGGTCCTCGTCACCCCTGGATGAGAGTTTAGCGGCACAGCCTTCATGCCAGAGAGGCCAAGGTGTACCACCCCCCCCCCCCCGCGGTTGAAGGCTAAGTTCCATTCGCTCTCGCTGCTCTGCTTCGCTTGCTTCTGATAAAACTCCGCTCTGCGAGCGCCGCCCATGCTGCTTTAGCTCAGTCCTGCTGGCGCTTTGCCTCTGCGCCCTGCGGAAAAGGAGGCGGCAGCTGTCCGCCCAGCAAGCTAAAGCAGTCGCTGCTCTCACGTAGCGCGCTGCGTGTGCGAACCTTGGCGAGTAAAGCTGCAACGCGAACGGAGGGGAGCGTACACGACCTACGCTCCTAGGTCGCAGAGGGGGAGAAGGACACGCGGACTGCGACAACTCCCTACCCCGCGTTGGGCGGGGGGGGGGGGGGGGGGGGCTTCGTAGCAGCGACTGCTTCTCTTCTACCCTCCAACAGTGCTAAAGCAGAGAGGGGAAGGGTAGAAACCATCAGCGGTAATATAATCATTTCTTTAGCCAAGAGTCAGCATTCCAATAAAATTATAGAACTCCTCGCGTATTGCAACTCCTTTACCTTTAGTGCTTTAGCTCTCGCAGTCGAAAGTTCGAGCTTCGGCCTCCCCAGTCTCCTGCGGAGAGTACCCCTGCGGAGAAAGAGTCCAAAGGGGGTAAGGTAATTTTTTATATTAATTATCGTTCCGGCGCAGCACTGCCCCCCCCTGTCAGGGTTAAATTTTAGGTTATCAGGGTTCGCTGCTTTAGCTGTGCAGGGTCGGCCTGCTTCGTTCCAGGGCTAGCAGGGCTCAGTTTGGGGAAGCATCGGGCTCCGCTCGGGTGAGTCCAGGTAAGCACTCTCGTACTGCCGGGAGCCTGCGGAGGCTAGTTAATAGGAAAAAAAATTTTTTTTCCTATTGACAACCTCAAATATAAACTACAATAAATAAAAATAATCAAACTACATCTACAAAATGCCAATAAGCAATAGCAGATTCTAAACCAACATGGTGAGCTGAAGTAGAATGATATGAATAGATTCTAACTGTACTATATATTAAAAATAAAGTACCTACTATTACGTGGAACCCATGTAGCCCTGTAGAAGCGAAAAATACTGTACCAAAAACACTATCTGCAAAAGAGAATGATGCTTCACTATATTCAATTGCCTGATAATAAGTAAATAATAAGGCTAAGAAGATAGTAACAAAAGAACCGTCAAGTGTTGTTTTTCTAACTCTCCCTATTAAAGAGTGGTGGGCTAATGTAATATAGGCACCAGAAGATAATAATATAACTGTATTAGTTAAAGGTAAACCAAATGAGTTTAGAGTAGTTAAACCGAAAGGAGGTCAAATTCCTCCTATTTCAACTGCAGGTGAAAGAGCTGAGTGAAAAAATCCTCAAAATACAGAAAAAAAAGCAAATGCTTCAGAAATAATAAATAATAAAAATCCTATAGAAATACCGTTTCTAACCTTTTTAGTGTGATCCCCTAAAAAAGTCCCTTCTGTTACAATATCTCTAAATCAAAGTCCCATACCAAAAATAGTAACGATTAATCCTAAAGTAATCACACTACCTCCGTGATTAAATCCGTGAAAATATAAAACGGCTCCAATAGCTAAATTAAATAATGAAAAACTTAATAAGATAGGCCAAGGTGATTTTGTTACTAAATGGAAACCGTAGTTTTGAAATTGTCTCTCTTTAGCTTTCAAGGCATGCGTAGTATACGAAGCCTGTGTTTTAGTCACCGCAGTTGCTGCAAGCGCTTCGCGATCGTAGGGCACGAAGCTCGCGCTCCGCGGACTCAGAGTAGTTTTTATATTTTTATTCATGTTTTTCTCCTGTTCTGTCCTGTTTGTTTACTTTTTTTTTAGAAGTAAAACTTTAATTTAAAATTGAAATCTTCTTTTTTATTAATCTGCGCTGCGCAGCCCTCCCTTGCCCTTAAGTCGCGAAGCGCGGGAGGGCGGCGGTGGCTCGCTCGCTCTCGCATTCGGACCGCAGGGCTGAACCCTTCGGAGGCCCCGCAGCTCGCCCTCCAGAATCGCTCCGCTGGTGTCGCGAAGCGCGGCGAGGGGTACACAGGCGCGCAGCGGGTTCGGAGCAGCGACTGCTTTACATTGCTGGCGTAAACCGCGAGAGAAGGCGGGACGCTGCGTCTACGATGCCTCGCTAGCAGGGGGTGCATGCGGGCTTCGGTGCGTGCTAAAGCAGCGCGAGCGCGCGCGAGCTTGCAAGGTAAGTTTCGCGGTAAAAAGCTTAGGGGTTCGAATCAACCTGTAACCCGCTTGGTTTGCAATACTAAATATTAGCCCTATAATTCGGTCTTTATTCCTGCCTGCTTTTGAACCTTTGCTTTAGCATCCTGCCGACAACATCTTTCGGATTAAGTGCACTCGGAGCGTAGCTGCTCGAAACCATCTCTGCAGTGAGGGAGTGTAAGCTTAGGTAGCTAGCTTCCAGCCTTATCGAAGACTTTCCTATCCTAATCGCAGTGCATCGCGCGGTCCGAAGCCCCCCCCCTCCGACTTTTGGAAGGGGACAGTCGGCTTACGCCGTTTGCAGGGGGCGCTCCGCAGGGGCGCCTTTCGTACCCTGCGTGCTAAAGCAGGGCTGCTTTAGCATCTTGACGAGCTCCGCACGCGCTTCGCGGTCGCAGGTCGCGGATGAAGGGAGAACTGCAGCAGTCCAGGTACACGGAAGGAGTGACTCCGCACCGCGGCGCGTCGCCTGCGGAGCGTCGCTAATTATGCTGCACCCGAAGGTGTGCAGCGTTATTATAAATTTTAATTTAAGATAGCTAGATTTTTTTTAGTATCCTTATAAAAAGACAGTTAGTGGTGACATTGTTATTTTTTCTTCATTTTAGGTAAAAGTCTCTCTGATTTTTAAAACCCGTCCTTGCGTAGCGCGTAGCGGTAATGAGAGGTACTACTCCCCTCTCACCCCTACATCGCTGCTTTTCCTCATCGCGCCCTCCGCAGGCCGAGCACAGTACTCTGCACCTGCGGACTGTTGCACCCTCTCGGCCTCCCCTCCTCCTCCTGCGGACAGCAGCGCGCCTGCGGACTGCGGAGCGACCCTTGCGGAGCGCGAGGACGGTCGCCTCCAGCAGCCCCCTGCGGAGCGAGCGGACCGGTGGTTCGCCTGCGGGAGGGTCGGTGGTTAGCGGGGTTCACAGGGTTCGCGCATGCGGAGCGGTGGGGTGCCTACGGAGCAGCGATGCTGCAGGGCAGGTCGGGGAGCGAAGCTGCAGGGAGGGGAAGGGAGGGCAGTGGTTCTGGTTTAGCACTGCTGGCGCTAGCGAAGCGCGAAGCAGAGCAGCGATGGGGGCTGGCGTGTTGTAAAACATTAGTTGTTAGTTGTAACTCGTTACTCGTTACTCGTCATTAGAGATAGCGAAAAATAAAAAAGGGTTAAGAAGGAATTGAACCTTAAATGAAAGATTTTGCAGATCTTCTACAGAAAACCATCTGTAAACTTAACCCTATTTAACCTCTTTTTTTTAACTCTGCTCCTACCATAATTATCACACTTCGCTCGCTACGCAGGGCGTTGCAGGCCGCAGGAGTGAAGCACATAAATCAGGAGAGGTCGCAGGACTGAGGGCTTTTAGACTGTGCGCAGCAGGACTGGATTACAGCGCTCCTACTTTATTTCGAGTATAACTAATAAAGGGCAAACCCGATTCAATATATTTACACCCCTTCACTGCAACGCCTCGCCTGCGTAGCGGCGCAGGCCACATGCGCGAAGCGAGCAGACGCCCTGACCCTCGCAGCCTCGGGCTAGTTGACAGCCTTTTGCTCCACAACTAAAGTAGCAATCTTTCGGGAAATAACTTTTAACCCGTAAACGCCCCCTTATTTGTAACCCTTCCTTAGAGTAAGGGTAGCGAGGGAGCAATCCCCCCCTCCCTCAGCCCTGGTAGCTAAAGCAGTCCAGCTACGGTTTTTGCTTCCTGCGAATGAGTGTGGAACCGCTCCGCTACCTTAAGCCGGTTGATTACAACCAGCTCTATGTCTAGGCTAGTCGATTAAAGCAGAGCTAACTATCCTCCAGGAAAAGTGGAGGGTATTAAGGCCGCTAAGAGTTACAGGTTTCGAAAGGGTGAGGGTGAAACAAGGCGTAGGCTAGCGACATTTAAAAAATAGTGTTAAAATTTACACCGTTCCTTATATTACCTTTCGATTTCTGCCATCCCTCGTCCCGCTTCTTGCTCCGCATCCCCCGAAGCAGTATGCTTTAGCATACTGCGCTTGCAGAGCCTTGCACACACGAAGGTCGCGATGCAGACAAAGGGAGTGCGGATCGATGAAGAAGTCACCCTACGGAAGCCGACCGAGAGCGAGAGGCGACCTCCGTTAAGTTAAAAAAATTATTTTTATTACTGGATCGCAGTCCTGCTACTGCTTTAGCTTGCGAATCCCTGAGGGCGCGCTTGGTTGTGAACCTTGCCTTTCGCTTCACCAAGGGAGCATTGTGCTCCGTGTCAACCGTTGGAGGGGCCCGCAATGCTTTGCGGAGAAGCAGTGTTGTCCGCTTTATCTTTCCTGCCTATTTAATTAACCTCAGTGTAAGAATAGTATTGCACGCTTCTGGCGAAGCAGACTGACTATGCCTATTCGGTTTGGTTTTTAGTATTAGACTAGCTTACATAATTTTCCAGTCCAGGTGCTGTCGTACATTACTTGTGATTATAATAGTAGTTAGTTAAGCTTCAAAAATTTTTTCCCGTTGACCGTTCCTCTACAAACCTCCGGATCTAATTGCTCAACGCTCGACGCGTTTTTGGCCGCCTCTATTGGGGCGAGCGGTGAACGCCGGGCTAAAGAGCTGATCTGTAGTTGCTAAATCATAGTCAACCTCAGCGGAGGTCACTGCATCGAGGTCTCGTAGATTTATTAATACAAAATTTTATTTTTCCGTCAGAACCTTTGCCTTCTTCCTCATGCCAGCTAACCTTCCTCAACCACACCTAGGGTTGGGTGTCATCGAGCGCGAACCGAGCGAAGCGCGTGCGTTGGTACTGTGTCATCCTTTATCTGCTCGTGTTCACACCTCCGAACCTTGACCGCTACTTTAGTTGCTCTACGGCTTCGGATCAATAGTGGGTACGAAGGGATTACCTAGCCCTTACGCGCTTCGCTGCTGCGCACAGCGCCCTGCAGAGCAGCGCACGCTTCGAAGAGCACTCTCCTCCCTGCCCGGGCAGTCGCGAAGCGCGAGAGCTGCTGCCCTGGTACGCAGAAGGAGGAGCAGCGCGAGACGAAGGCGCCGGTCGCGAAGCGCGGGTAGGACTGTGGATAAGTAGTGCAGCAAAGACATAGACAGTTAACTAAAAAAATATTGTCGAAAAACAGAGTTGAACTATTATTAACTTATTACAAGTAAGTCGTTTTACCATTAAACTATTTCGGCTTTATTTAAATTTTTTTTCTTTATTCTCCGTTCGCCGCAGGGCGGACTCTTGCTGCAAGATCCCCGCCCCTCTTAACTCTGATTTATTTCCGCCTTTGCATCCCTCCCGCGCTTCGCAGCTGCGCATGCAGGGGCTGCACTAAAGCAGGGGTGGCCGCGCTGCACTCATATAAGTTATAGGGGTAAAGTTTCTACTTCAGCTCTGGAGCGTTGTGCCCTACGAATTATAACTTTTTAAGGATCATCTACCTCGCGCATACCTACTGCTCGCTTCGCGCTTGCGGACCCTGCGAAGCAGAGATTTAAAAAATAATTTCTACTCTAGTTCTGCTTTAGGGCTGTCGCAGCTTCCGCCCGCAGGCGGCTCAACGCACACTGCTTGAAATAGAAGAAATGGAAGTGCGGAAGGTTAACCAGAGGCAGAGCGCTTGACACAGGCAAATCTTTCGGGTTACCTCCTCCCGGATTAAGCAAGCTAGTTCACCTATAAACTCCCTGAGAGCTAAGATTTTAGTTTGGACCTTTACAGACCAAAGCTGCCTCGGCGCAACCTTACCTCCTCTCCTACTAACTCTGCTTAGCGGGCTACGGGAGTGTAGTTAAGTTAGCCTGCTTGACAACCTTGCAGTCCACATTATTTCCTGCGTACCCCTACCTCGCACCGCTCGCTCCGGAGAGGGGTGCAGCGAAGGGCGCTGCAGTCCGCTGGAGCGCGCTAACCTCTGGCTCCTTCGCGGGAACGGATCTCTCCGCGGGTCGCTAAACCATACTGAGGTAAAGGCAGCAGTACTACTTACGAAACTAAAGCAGCTGCGCGGGGAGTCCTCTGTTTTAACATCGCAGGATAAGGGTTGAGTAGGTGTAGGGCTGTTACATATATTACAATTAAGAATGAACCACTAGTGAAAGGTGTAATAATACTTATAATAGAAGTTCACTAATTGGACTTTACCTTTTTCTCGCCTGCGGATAGCTCCTTTACAGATAGAATGGTGTAGTTGAACCTTGCTGACCGTTTATCTGAAGGCTTACCTGAGGGCAGGTAAAATTTTTACGGTACCTGAACCGAAACGACAGCAATGCGGTCGGTGTGCCCAGTGAGGTTAACCCTTCCGCATTTCCGTTAAGGCCGGCAGTACACAAAGAGCGAAGAAAAAAAGGGAGAAGGTGCGGAGGAAAGTATAGAGGTGCGAAGGTTTATCTGGCTGGTATTGGATACAGATAGGTCACGCCCTTCGCTCCGAAGGGCTAAAGCTCCCCACTGGTGCACGCAATGTTGGAGATTCCTCTTCTTGTCTCTCCTTCACGAGCTACGCTTCAGCAATTGCCATGCTGCTTCTGCATTACCACACCGCGACCTCCGCAGGCCGACCGCTGTGTTCTGCACCAGCGGACTGTAGCACCTCCGGGACCACCCCGCCTCCGCCTGCGGTCGCGAAGCGCGAGGACGTTCGCCTACTGCACCCCACCCCGCGCTTCGCTCCTGCGCCCTGCGGAGCGGGCCGCTGCTTCTGCTTTAGCATCCTTCGGAGCGGGACGGAACCACTGATCCCTACCCGCGCTTCGCTCCTGCGCCCTGCGGAGCGACCCTTGCGGAGCCCGCGGATGGCCTTGCATGCGCTCCGCCTGGCGAGCCTTGCTGGGCCGTGCGAAGTAAAGCAGCGCCTGCGATACTGAAGGAGAGAGGGAGTCGCAAAGCGCCAGCAACCCTACCCCCCTTCGCTATAATTTGTTGTCTAAGTCTACCTTTGTCTTGCGAATAGGATGAGTGGGGAGCTGGCGCGTGTGAGAGGGTAAACTTAAAAAAATATAATCTTTATTTTATTATAGTGATTCTTTTAAAAATTTTTTTAATTTATAATTAATTAGTAGTGCTTGGCTCGCTCCGCTGTCTGCTTCTGCTTTAGCATTGTAGTACGCGGGTTAGCCGACTGTCCGCCCAGAGAGGCGAAGCAGCGCAACAAGGGTTATTAAAAAGCTTAAAGGGGGTAATTAAAAATAAAACTAAAAAAACGACCCCTGCACAGCTGATTATCTCCGCAAGGCAGGAGCACTGCTCTGCTTCGCACCGTATCTGTGGAGAGATTGATCTGCACGCGCTACGTGACTGCGGTGCTGCAACACAGCACCTCACCCTTAGTAGGTTTAGCTGCACCGTTGACCTGCTGCCTAGTACTCCTCCGGGGAGATGCTGCCCTTCGCGAGTGGAGAGTTAGGGGTAGAGAAGGAGCTAAAGCAGCAGTCGCCCTACCTCCCTTAAAGGGAGGTAGGGAGGGTGGGAGCTGTCCGCCATGCAGCCCGCTCCGCAAGGCTTAATCAGGGGAGGGGCGCACGCTGCTTTAGCATCCTTCGGAGTAAGGCGCTGCGCGTAGCTAGGTAAGCAGCGCTTAGCGACTGAGGGGCCTGATGTGTTCTACTGCTATTTTTATTTATTTTTAGTAGTTTATACTTTTAGAGCCTACAATACGCAATGTTGCGGGACTCATAAATTTATATTATAAATCTTTATTTTTCTCAATTCCTATAAGGTAAACCTTGTAATTTTTTACTTGTTTCTACTTCTATCTTCCTTTCTTCTCTTTCAATAGTTCGGTCTATATAAGCCAATTGCTCTGAAGTAGGATCAACTAGGCTATTTCTATAATTCTCTCACTCTGCTCTGGAACGAAGGGGTGAAATAAGACGATCACTAGAGGACGGTGTATTATTAGAGTCAGGGTTACTAATTTGTGAGGGGTTATTTTCCGGCGTAGTATCTGAGGTAGGATTGTTAGGTGTGTAACAGCGAAGCCTAGCTGTGTTGTTGTTAGAGTCAGTAGGGTCACCCTCCCGCGCTTCGCTCCCTTCGGGCCGCAGCACTACGCGCTCGCCAGAGGAAGTGCCATCCCTAAAGAGTGAGGGTGACCCAGAGCCATTTGCTGCGGTAGAATTGTTGTTACCATTAGGTGGAAAATTTGAACCGTCATGTTCAACGAATTCCCAATCTGACTCCCCCTCTGATTCAGAATCAGATTCGCCAATCTCGAACATTTTTCTTTTTTTATTATCTAAACCTTTAAATTTTTTAACTTTATCTTTATTTTTCTCGTTGTCATTATCATTATCATTATCGTTATCTAAAGCTTTACCCTTTCCTTTGTCCTTATCCATATCTTTATCATCATCGTTACCTTTATCTAAATTAATAGAAGTAGCAGTAAAAGGTCAAAATAATCATCTAAAATATGATAAAATTTCAAAAGTTAAAGAAATTTCAATATAAAAAGGGATACAGAAGGGTAGATAATAATTAAATAAACTTCATAAATAAAATTTTAACTCTTTATTAAGCCGACGAACAATTAAATCTCTTAAGAAACCTAAAGGATTATTTATAATTTTATTAAATCTAATAATAAAATTATCAAAAATAAGTTTAATAATTTTATTACAATAATCTAAAATAGGTTTAATAATTTTTTTACTATTAATTAATAATAATTCGTGTAAATAGAAATTAGAAATAATTCGCGCGTGCGGAGAGTCGTATGTTTCTAAAGGAGGGCTAGGCTGTATTGTAAGATCTTTATATTCATTTTTGTTTAGAACATAGGCTAAAGTATGGTATTTTTTACTACTAGCGTTAGCACTAGCACTTACCATTCGATCGCTGCTCTGCTTCGCCCCCCGCCCTAAGGGGAGGGAGATGGGAGCGCTGCGCAGCGCTTCCTTCGGCTGAGTATTAGTAGCTTGCGGAATACCCATCGGAGTACCATTCGAACTATAGTGAGGATTAACCTGTGGAGTATTATTCTCCACCTGTACAACTCTCTTAGTTTGTAGCTCTGATAATAATGTAAATTTCAGCGAAGCGGAGTAGATAGGTAGTATTTCACATTTTTCTTGATCTATTTTTTTCAGTGATTTTATAAAAAAGACTTTATTTCCTTCACTAAGGTAGGATAATCAATTTAAATTCTTTTTGTTAGCATTAAATCCTTGAATAAAATTTAAGCTCCAATATCGAAGCTCATTATTATGCAGGGTACTAATACTATGAAAGCCACTGCTACCGGCAAAAGCCCCAGTCAGCAGAATTCTATAAGCTGGTCGTATTTTAGTCGAGGTAGTGTTGCTCGGAACCAGACGAACAAGAAACAAAAAAAACTTGTTTTTATACCTAAGATTAAAGCTTGTAAATTTATTAAAGATTCATTTACAAAAATTTCAGGCATATTGTACCCTCCCAAAAAAAAAATAGCAGAAATAGTACTGAATAAAACAATAGAACTGTATTCACCTAAAAAAAAAAAAACAAAAAGGGTAGCAGAATGCTCTGTGAAAAAACCGGCTACTAGTTCGGACTCAGCTTCTTGTAAATCAAAAGGTGTTCTTGAAGTTTCCGCAAGTACAGAAATGAAAAAGTAAATAAAAACCGGTAATAAGGGAACAAGATATCATATGGCTTCTTGGTTTTCAACTGTGGCAGTAAAATTTAATGAACCTGACAATATAATTACAACAAAAATGGCAGAGGATAGTATTAATTCATAAGAAATCATTGCACTTGTAGATCTTAATGAACCTAAGAACGCGTATTTAGAATTAGCACTTCACCCGGATAATAAAATACCATAAACTCCAAGAGAAGATAGCGCTAAAGTATACAATATTCCTAAGTTAAAATCAGTTAAACATAATCCTTGACCGAAGGGAACTATAGCTCATCCTAATAAACTTAAAACTAAAGTAGCTATAGGTGCTAAAAAGAATAAAACCTTATTAGAGTGAGTAGGTACTACATTTTCTTTAAGAATTAATTTTAAGGCATCAGCAAATGGCTGTAATACTCCTCAATATCCAGTTACTTGAGGTCCTACTCTTCTTTGGTGAGCTGCTAATTGTTTACGTTCTATTATAGTCATAAAAGCGACTGAAAGAAGCATTGGTACTATAATTACTAAAACGTTTCCGAGATTTAATATTGTAAAGTTATTGTTCATTTTTTTTGTTTTTTGTTTTGATAAATTCCGTTGCTACCTGCTCTTCTGATTTTTGTGAAGATTTTTTTGAGAATAGCGGTTCTATACTAGTTTAAACTTAATTTTGTATATAATATAAGCCCGGTATAGTCTAGATTATTTAATCCAGGGGTGTTTAGCTCTAAATTGTGATACGAGCGCGCCTGCGGTCCGCAGGCGCGGAGCGTGTGTAACACTTGAAGATAAAAATTGGGCTCGCTCTTTCTAATAATTTATTTTTTTTTTGATCCTTACTTTTTTTGTCGGCGGAGCCGCTTGTATTATTTTTAGATAGTAAGATGTAGTATGGTTTGTAACGGTGGCGAAGAATTATTACACAATATAACTTAGTTCAAATTTAGATACGGTGAGGGTGCCTTCCGAACTCGCCCTCCAGCGCTGCAGTGCTGGGCGCGTGCTGCACCTCCTGCAGCGTCCCTTGAGTGCTGCAGTCCTCCCTTGTGGTACGATCGCGAAGCGCGTGTGGAGCTCGGCAGGTAGCTAAAGCAAGAAGGGGGGTATGCACGCTTCGCGGTTGCGCCTCGCCGCCTCCTTAGCTTGACTGCTTTAGCCGGGTTCCCTACCGCCGCCTGCTGATGGAGCACTGTCACGAAGCACGAAGAGTAGGAGAGGCGGCGTCCTTCGGAACGCTATTGTAGGGCGCCGCCCCCTGCGAAGCCCTCTGGAGCAAAGCGCCTCCTTTAGGAGTAAAGTTCGTACCCCCTCCCTCCCATTACCAGCGCTGCACTGCTGGGCGCTTTAGCTCCCTTCTTCCCTCGCTGCTTTAGCTTCCATTCGGCCCGATTGCTGTGCTAAAGCTGTATCTACTTGACACCCTGCCAAGCGAAGCGCGAGTGTAAGCAGACTGTTTACCTTTTATATTTTACCTGGTAATCCTTCGAGTCTTTGTTAAGCTGTACCCGTCAGGCAAACCGGCTTGCACTTAAGGGTACCATCGTTTGATTACTTGATACGGAGCTTTGCTCCAGGGGCATTGTTTGTACCGTACTCGGTTTTAGGGAAGGCGGAGTGTGGTGCATAGGCAAAGGGGTCCCATTAATACAGAATTTAAGTTTATCGTAGAAGCAATGAAGAGATTAGAGCTAATTGTTAAGGTAGCACCGACCGGCGCTCGTCGAAGCACCGGACCTGCTTTAGCAGGCCACCGCTCCGCAGCCGCCTAAGGCATTATTATTAGGATAAAGGTAGGACCCTCCTTCAAGGAGGGTTAGAATGTTACTAAAGCTGCACTGTAACGCGGTGCGCCTTGTTGTTTTTTTTTATAACTAACGTATTGTACGTAACACCTACTGTAATTAATTAATTTTACTACTTTCCTTTTATAGTCCGCAGGCCGCATGCTTCGTACGCTAAGATCTTCTGCCCGTTAATAAGACGAAGCTGGGTTCGGACGCCTGTACTGCACAGCTACGCAGTATAGGTACAGTACTGCAGCTTCGAGTCACTCTGCGAGACTGCTACTCCGCATGAAGCTAAACCAGCCCTTGCGCAGCTAAAGCAGGTAGGGAGCAGGGGGTCGATCTGCCCTGCGGAGCGAGGGAGGAAACTTAACCCCAGCCTACTCATTCGACTGCAAGCAGCCTACCCCTTCCGGTTGGTTACATGAACAAAAAAAGGAAATGAAACCCAGCGCTCGCTCCGCAGGGCGCAGGAGCGAAGCGCGGAGGGGCTGCGCCTCTAGAGTTGCGGATCATAGCTTAGAGCTGTAAAAGTTGAGGGGGTTGGTTCCAGTTAATTAAAAATCTGAGTAAAGTAAAGTATCTAGCTAAAAAATAAAAAAAGGAGTTAATGTAAAACTAAGGGAGCCTTTACTCCTGCGCGGGCTTGTTTTATTTATAGAGAAAGAATTTTATTTTTAAATAATTCTATACGGTTTCCAAGGTTGGAGGGGATATGGTCGGACCGGAGGACTACCAATTTGCTGTTTAGAATCGGATTTTTTTATAAAAGGTCCGCTCTGCCCCTCCTTAGCAGCCAGCGTAGCAGCTGCGAAGTCGCGCCTGATCTGATGCTTATGCTCCTTCATTTTTAATCTGTAAGTTAGTGAAGCAGTGCTACTTTAGTATCATTTGAAGCATGCTGTCGCTATTTGCTCGCGCGAAGGGCAAGCTGGGCTGCTAAAACGCGAGCAGTTTTAGCTTACTCGCCTGCAGTGCTAAAGCAGAAGCAGCTGGTGCTACGAGCCCACCCCGGCAGGACTGTATTGCTTTAGCTGCTGTACCTCAGTGCTGAAGGAGACACTGCCCGCCGAAGGCGAAGGAGCAGGGTCGGCTCCTTCTCCAGCAGTCGGCACGGAGCATGTTAAAGCAGGAGCGTGCTGGAGACAAATAAAAAAAATTCTGGACTGAAGCTAAAGCCTAAGAATCTTTAATTAAAGATAAATAGGCTTTAGCTTCAGTCCAGAATTTTTTTATTTGTCTCCAGCACACGCTCCTGCTTTAACATGCTCCGTGCCGACTGCTGGAGAAGGAGCCGACCTGCTCCTTCGCCTTCGGCGGGCAGTGTCTCCTTCAGCACTGAGGTACAGCAGCTAAAGCAATACAGTCCTGCCGGGTGGGCTCGTAGCACCAGCTGCTTCTGCTTTAGCACTGCAGGCGAGTAAGCTAAAACTGCTCGCGTTTTAGCAGCCCAGCTTGCCCTTCGCGCGAGCAAATAGCGACAGCATGCTTCAAATGATACTAAAGTAGCACTGCTTCACTAACTTACAGATTAAAAATGAAGGAGCATAAGCATCAGATCAGGCGCGACTTCGCAGCTGCTACGCTGGCTGCTAAGGAGGGGCAGAGCGGACCTTTTATAAAAAAATCCGATTCTAAACAGCAAATTGGTAGTCCTCCGGTCCGACCATATCCCCTCCAACCTTGGAAACCGTATAGAATTATTTAAAAATAAAAATTCTTTCTCTATAAATAAAACAAGCCCGCGCAGGAGTAAAGGCTCCCTTAGTTTTACATTAACTCCTTTTTTTTATTTTTTAGCTAGATACTTTACTTTACTCAGATTTTTAATTAACTGGAACCAACCCCCTCAACTTTTACAGCTCTAAGCTATGATCCGCAACTCTAGAGGCGCAGCCCCTCCGCGCTTCGCTCCTGCGCCCTGCGGAGCGAGCGCTGGGTTTCATTTCCTTTCCTTTTGTTCATGTAACCAACCGGAAGGGGTAGGCTGCTTGCAGTCGAATGAGTAGGCTGGGGTTAAGTTTCCTCCCTCGCTCCGCAGGGCAGATCGACCCCCTGCTCCCTACCTGCTTTAGCTGCGCAAGGGCTGGTTTAGCTTCATGCGGAGTAGCAGTCTCGCAGAGTGACTCGAAGCTGCAGTACTGTACCTATACTGCGTAGCTGTGCAGTACAGGCGTCCGAACCCAGCTTCGTCTTATTAACGGGCAGAAGATCTTAGCGTACGAAGCATGCGGCCTGCGGACTATAAAAGGAAAGTAGTAAAATTAATTAATTACAGTAGGTGTTACGTACAATACGTTAGTTATATAAAAAAAACAACAAGGCGCACCGCGTTACAGTGCAGCTTTAGTAACATTCTAACCCTCCTTGAAGGAGGGTCCTACCTTTATCCTAATAATAATGCCTTAGGCGGCTGCGGAGCGGTGGCCTGCTAAAGCAGGTCCGGTGCTTCGACGAGCGCCGGTCGGTGCTACCTTAACAATTAGCTCTAATCTCTTCATTGCTTCTACGATAAACTTAAATTCTGTATTAATGGGACCCCTTTGCCTATGCACCACACTCCGCCTTCCCTAAAACCGAGTACGGTACAAACAATGCCCCTGGAGCAAAGCTCCGTATCAAGTAATCAAACGATGGTACCCTTAAGTGCAAGCCGGTTTGCCTGACGGGTACAGCTTAACAAAGACTCGAAGGATTACCAGGTAAAATATAAAAGGTAAACAGTCTGCTTACACTCGCGCTTCGCTTGGCAGGGTGTCAAGTAGATACAGCTTTAGCACAGCAATCGGGCCGAATGGAAGCTAAAGCAGCGAGGGAAGAAGGGAGCTAAAGCGCCCAGCAGTGCAGCGCTGGTAATGGGAGGGAGGGGGTACGAACTTTACTCCTAAAGGAGGCGCTTTGCTCCAGAGGGCTTCGCAGGGGGCGGCGCCCTACAATAGCGTTCCGAAGGACGCCGCCTCTCCTACTCTTCGTGCTTCGTGACAGTGCTCCATCAGCAGGCGGCGGTAGGGAACCCGGCTAAAGCAGTCAAGCTAAGGAGGCGGCGAGGCGCAACCGCGAAGCGTGCATACCCCCCTTCTTGCTTTAGCTACCTGCCGAGCTCCACACGCGCTTCGCGATCGTACCACAAGGGAGGACTGCAGCACTCAAGGGACGCTGCAGGAGGTGCAGCACGCGCCCAGCACTGCAGCGCTGGAGGGCGAGTTCGGAAGGCACCCTCACCGTATCTAAATTTGAACTAAGTTATATTGTGTAATAATTCTTCGCCACCGTTACAAACCATACTACATCTTACTATCTAAAAATAATACAAGCGGCTCCGCCGACAAAAAAAGTAAGGATCAAAAAAAAAATAAATTATTAGAAAGAGCGAGCCCAATTTTTATCTTCAAGTGTTACACACGCTCCGCGCCTGCGGACCGCAGGCGCGCTCGTATCACAATTTAGAGCTAAACACCCCTGGATTAAATAATCTAGACTATACCGGGCTTATATTATATACAAAATTAAGTTTAAACTAGTATAGAACCGCTATTCTCAAAAAAATCTTCACAAAAATCAGAAGAGCAGGTAGCAACGGAATTTATCAAAACAAAAAACAAAAAAAATGAACAATAACTTTACAATATTAAATCTCGGAAACGTTTTAGTAATTATAGTACCAATGCTTCTTTCAGTCGCTTTTATGACTATAATAGAACGTAAACAATTAGCAGCTCACCAAAGAAGAGTAGGACCTCAAGTAACTGGATATTGAGGAGTATTACAGCCATTTGCTGATGCCTTAAAATTAATTCTTAAAGAAAATGTAGTACCTACTCACTCTAATAAGGTTTTATTCTTTTTAGCACCTATAGCTACTTTAGTTTTAAGTTTATTAGGATGAGCTATAGTTCCCTTCGGTCAAGGATTATGTTTAACTGATTTTAACTTAGGAATATTGTATACTTTAGCGCTATCTTCTCTTGGAGTTTATGGTATTTTATTATCCGGGTGAAGTGCTAATTCTAAATACGCGTTCTTAGGTTCATTAAGATCTACAAGTGCAATGATTTCTTATGAATTAATACTATCCTCTGCCATTTTTGTTGTAATTATATTGTCAGGTTCATTAAATTTTACTGCCACAGTTGAAAACCAAGAAGCCATATGATATCTTGTTCCCTTATTACCGGTTTTTATTTACTTTTTCATTTCTGTACTTGCGGAAACTTCAAGAACACCTTTTGATTTACAAGAAGCTGAGTCCGAACTAGTAGCCGGTTTTTTCACAGAGCATTCTGCTACCCTTTTTGTTTTTTTTTTTTTAGGTGAATACAGTTCTATTGTTTTATTCAGTACTATTTCTGCTATTTTTTTTTTGGGAGGGTACAATATGCCTGAAATTTTTGTAAATGAATCTTTAATAAATTTACAAGCTTTAATCTTAGGTATAAAAACAAGTTTTTTTTGTTTCTTGTTCGTCTGGTTCCGAGCAACACTACCTCGACTAAAATACGACCAGCTTATAGAATTCTGCTGACTGGGGCTTTTGCCGGTAGCAGTGGCTTTCATAGTATTAGTACCCTGCATAATAATGAGCTTCGATATTGGAGCTTAAATTTTATTCAAGGATTTAATGCTAACAAAAAGAATTTAAATTGATTATCCTACCTTAGTGAAGGAAATAAAGTCTTTTTTATAAAATCACTGAAAAAAATAGATCAAGAAAAATGTGAAATACTACCTATCTACTCCGCTTCGCTGAAATTTACATTATTATCAGAGCTACAAACTAAGAGAGTTGTACAGGTGGAGAATAATACTCCACAGGTTAATCCTCACTATAGTTCGAATGGTACTCCGATGGGTATTCCGCAAGCTACTAATACTCAGCCGAAGGAAGCGCTGCGCAGCGCTCCCATCTCCCTCCCCTTAGGGCGGGGGGCGAAGCAGAGCAGCGATCGAATGGTAAGTGCTAGTGCTAACGCTAGTAGTAAAAAATACCATACTTTAGCCTATGTTCTAAACAAAAATGAATATAAAGATCTTACAATACAGCCTAGCCCTCCTTTAGAAACATACGACTCTCCGCACGCGCGAATTATTTCTAATTTCTATTTACACGAATTATTATTAATTAATAGTAAAAAATTATTAAACCTATTTTAGATTATTGTAATAAAATTATTAAACTTATTTTTGATAATTTTATTATTAGATTTAATAAAATTATAAATAATCCTTTAGGTTTCTTAAGAGATTTAATTGTTCGTCGGCTTAATAAAGAGTTAAAATTTTATTTATGAAGTTTATTTAATTATTATCTACCCTTCTGTATCCCTTTTTATATTGAAATTTCTTTAACTTTTGAAATTTTATCATATTTTAGATGATTATTTTGACCTTTTACTGCTACTTCTATTAATTTAGATAAAGGTAACGATGATGATAAAGATATGGATAAGGACAAAGGAAAGGGTAAAGCTTTAGATAACGATAATGATAATGATAATGACAACGAGAAAAATAAAGATAAAGTTAAAAAATTTAAAGGTTTAGATAATAAAAAAAGAAAAATGTTCGAGATTGGCGAATCTGATTCTGAATCAGAGGGGGAGTCAGATTGGGAATTCGTTGAACATGACGGTTCAAATTTTCCACCTAATGGTAACAACAATTCTACCGCAGCAAATGGCTCTGGGTCACCCTCACTCTTTAGGGATGGCACTTCCTCTGGCGAGCGCGTAGTGCTGCGGCCCGAAGGGAGCGAAGCGCGGGAGGGTGACCCTACTGACTCTAACAACAACACAGCTAGGCTTCGCTGTTACACACCTAACAATCCTACCTCAGATACTACGCCGGAAAATAACCCCTCACAAATTAGTAACCCTGACTCTAATAATACACCGTCCTCTAGTGATCGTCTTATTTCACCCCTTCGTTCCAGAGCAGAGTGAGAGAATTATAGAAATAGCCTAGTTGATCCTACTTCAGAGCAATTGGCTTATATAGACCGAACTATTGAAAGAGAAGAAAGGAAGATAGAAGTAGAAACAAGTAAAAATTACAAGGTTTACCTTATAGGAATTGAGAAAAATAAAGATTTATAATATAAATTTATGAGTCCCGCAACATTGCGTATTGTAGGCTCTAAAAGTATAAACTACTAAAAATAAATAAAAATAGCAGTAGAACACATCAGGCCCCTCAGTCGCTAAGCGCTGCTTACCTAGCTACGCGCAGCGCCTTACTCCGAAGGATGCTAAAGCAGCGTGCGCCCCTCCCCTGATTAAGCCTTGCGGAGCGGGCTGCATGGCGGACAGCTCCCACCCTCCCTACCTCCCTTTAAGGGAGGTAGGGCGACTGCTGCTTTAGCTCCTTCTCTACCCCTAACTCTCCACTCGCGAAGGGCAGCATCTCCCCGGAGGAGTACTAGGCAGCAGGTCAACGGTGCAGCTAAACCTACTAAGGGTGAGGTGCTGTGTTGCAGCACCGCAGTCACGTAGCGCGTGCAGATCAATCTCTCCACAGATACGGTGCGAAGCAGAGCAGTGCTCCTGCCTTGCGGAGATAATCAGCTGTGCAGGGGTCGTTTTTTTAGTTTTATTTTTAATTACCCCCTTTAAGCTTTTTAATAACCCTTGTTGCGCTGCTTCGCCTCTCTGGGCGGACAGTCGGCTAACCCGCGTACTACAATGCTAAAGCAGAAGCAGACAGCGGAGCGAGCCAAGCACTACTAATTAATTATAAATTAAAAAAATTTTTAAAAGAATCACTATAATAAAATAAAGATTATATTTTTTTAAGTTTACCCTCTCACACGCGCCAGCTCCCCACTCATCCTATTCGCAAGACAAAGGTAGACTTAGACAACAAATTATAGCGAAGGGGGGTAGGGTTGCTGGCGCTTTGCGACTCCCTCTCTCCTTCAGTATCGCAGGCGCTGCTTTACTTCGCACGGCCCAGCAAGGCTCGCCAGGCGGAGCGCATGCAAGGCCATCCGCGGGCTCCGCAAGGGTCGCTCCGCAGGGCGCAGGAGCGAAGCGCGGGTAGGGATCAGTGGTTCCGTCCCGCTCCGAAGGATGCTAAAGCAGAAGCAGCGGCCCGCTCCGCAGGGCGCAGGAGCGAAGCGCGGGGTGGGGTGCAGTAGGCGAACGTCCTCGCGCTTCGCGACCGCAGGCGGAGGCGGGGTGGTCCCGGAGGTGCTACAGTCCGCTGGTGCAGAACACAGCGGTCGGCCTGCGGAGGTCGCGGTGTGGTAATGCAGAAGCAGCATGGCAATTGCTGAAGCGTAGCTCGTGAAGGAGAGACAAGAAGAGGAATCTCCAACATTGCGTGCACCAGTGGGGAGCTTTAGCCCTTCGGAGCGAAGGGCGTGACCTATCTGTATCCAATACCAGCCAGATAAACCTTCGCACCTCTATACTTTCCTCCGCACCTTCTCCCTTTTTTTCTTCGCTCTTTGTGTACTGCCGGCCTTAACGGAAATGCGGAAGGGTTAACCTCACTGGGCACACCGACCGCATTGCTGTCGTTTCGGTTCAGGTACCGTAAAAATTTTACCTGCCCTCAGGTAAGCCTTCAGATAAACGGTCAGCAAGGTTCAACTACACCATTCTATCTGTAAAGGAGCTATCCGCAGGCGAGAAAAAGGTAAAGTCCAATTAGTGAACTTCTATTATAAGTATTATTACACCTTTCACTAGTGGTTCATTCTTAATTGTAATATATGTAACAGCCCTACACCTACTCAACCCTTATCCTGCGATGTTAAAACAGAGGACTCCCCGCGCAGCTGCTTTAGTTTCGTAAGTAGTACTGCTGCCTTTACCTCAGTATGGTTTAGCGACCCGCGGAGAGATCCGTTCCCGCGAAGGAGCCAGAGGTTAGCGCGCTCCAGCGGACTGCAGCGCCCTTCGCTGCACCCCTCTCCGGAGCGAGCGGTGCGAGGTAGGGGTACGCAGGAAATAATGTGGACTGCAAGGTTGTCAAGCAGGCTAACTTAACTACACTCCCGTAGCCCGCTAAGCAGAGTTAGTAGGAGAGGAGGTAAGGTTGCGCCGAGGCAGCTTTGGTCTGTAAAGGTCCAAACTAAAATCTTAGCTCTCAGGGAGTTTATAGGTGAACTAGCTTGCTTAATCCGGGAGGAGGTAACCCGAAAGATTTGCCTGTGTCAAGCGCTCTGCCTCTGGTTAACCTTCCGCACTTCCATTTCTTCTATTTCAAGCAGTGTGCGTTGAGCCGCCTGCGGGCGGAAGCTGCGACAGCCCTAAAGCAGAACTAGAGTAGAAATTATTTTTTAAATCTCTGCTTCGCAGGGTCCGCAAGCGCGAAGCGAGCAGTAGGTATGCGCGAGGTAGATGATCCTTAAAAAGTTATAATTCGTAGGGCACAACGCTCCAGAGCTGAAGTAGAAACTTTACCCCTATAACTTATATGAGTGCAGCGCGGCCACCCCTGCTTTAGTGCAGCCCCTGCATGCGCAGCTGCGAAGCGCGGGAGGGATGCAAAGGCGGAAATAAATCAGAGTTAAGAGGGGCGGGGATCTTGCAGCAAGAGTCCGCCCTGCGGCGAACGGAGAATAAAGAAAAAAAATTTAAATAAAGCCGAAATAGTTTAATGGTAAAACGACTTACTTGTAATAAGTTAATAATAGTTCAACTCTGTTTTTCGACAATATTTTTTTAGTTAACTGTCTATGTCTTTGCTGCACTACTTATCCACAGTCCTACCCGCGCTTCGCGACCGGCGCCTTCGTCTCGCGCTGCTCCTCCTTCTGCGTACCAGGGCAGCAGCTCTCGCGCTTCGCGACTGCCCGGGCAGGGAGGAGAGTGCTCTTCGAAGCGTGCGCTGCTCTGCAGGGCGCTGTGCGCAGCAGCGAAGCGCGTAAGGGCTAGGTAATCCCTTCGTACCCACTATTGATCCGAAGCCGTAGAGCAACTAAAGTAGCGGTCAAGGTTCGGAGGTGTGAACACGAGCAGATAAAGGATGACACAGTACCAACGCACGCGCTTCGCTCGGTTCGCGCTCGATGACACCCAACCCTAGGTGTGGTTGAGGAAGGTTAGCTGGCATGAGGAAGAAGGCAAAGGTTCTGACGGAAAAATAAAATTTTGTATTAATAAATCTACGAGACCTCGATGCAGTGACCTCCGCTGAGGTTGACTATGATTTAGCAACTACAGATCAGCTCTTTAGCCCGGCGTTCACCGCTCGCCCCAATAGAGGCGGCCAAAAACGCGTCGAGCGTTGAGCAATTAGATCCGGAGGTTTGTAGAGGAACGGTCAACGGGAAAAAATTTTTGAAGCTTAACTAACTACTATTATAATCACAAGTAATGTACGACAGCACCTGGACTGGAAAATTATGTAAGCTAGTCTAATACTAAAAACCAAACCGAATAGGCATAGTCAGTCTGCTTCGCCAGAAGCGTGCAATACTATTCTTACACTGAGGTTAATTAAATAGGCAGGAAAGATAAAGCGGACAACACTGCTTCTCCGCAAAGCATTGCGGGCCCCTCCAACGGTTGACACGGAGCACAATGCTCCCTTGGTGAAGCGAAAGGCAAGGTTCA